GGGGGGCATCCCAGGAATTGATAGGGCCTGTGGGTGGTAGATGGATGATGTGGTGGAGTGGGTGGTGATGTCATGAGGGAGGCCACTGTGTTCCAGGCATTTAAAGATTCCAAGGTCTGCACTGGCTTGGAAGTAGAGCCACCCACCTGTCCTTGGGGTTTGAACACCAGCATCTCAATGGTGACCATAACAGCCTGAAAACCATAAGCCCCTTTTTGCTGAATTTCCTGGTGATCGCACAGGGCCAGAGCAGGAAAGGGTATGAAATACTGAATAATACTGTTGGCATATGGATACTCGGAGCCCTGCTTTATTTGAATTAGAAAAATAAAGCAAAGTGACATTAAGTTCTGTTTTGTGGAGTAAATTGTTTGTGTGTTTATTTATAAACATACACATATTTATACATATGTATCTATGAAGTATTGGTAAAAACACCAAAATAATAGCTGAATTCCATTAAGAAAGCCTACCTTAGTTACTTTGTACCCAGTGAAGAGGCCATTAGAACCGGCACTCTGGGGAAGAGCACTTCTTCTGGACTAGTTTGATGTTTTTCCAGGTTTATCGTGGGGTTTATAAAATCTGATGAGCATTAGGGCCAACACTGAGGATGAGAACCTTTCTATCCTTTCCACTGAGTAGAGAGTGAGTCACCGGTTTGATGTGTCTCCGGCCGAACGAACTGACCAGAAGCGTGTCTTGGGAATCAAAAATGAAATTATAGTCTGGCATACTGTGTCAGCGCTTTGTGGTACTTAGTTTTGAAATCTGAAACGTTTCTGGCAAGGTTGTATTTTATGTTTATGTGTAATATTAACACACTAGCAAGGGATTAATCATGATTGTTCAGAAATTATCTTTTAAATCTTAATTTAAAATAAAGTGATGTTTAATCAAGAGCCATCAATTGTAATACTGATTTAAAGAGCCATTTAGTGAAGGAAAAGTCAGTTAATTATATCAGGTTATTTTAAACTGAAAGAAAAATAGCATTCTGCTAACTTATAAAGGGGTAATGTTTAAATTGACTGAATTCTGCATGCTCTGCTGATAGATCATTTTAGGGTATTTTTCACACCTAATATCTACTGAGGTTAATTAACACACTTGGAGGGACCTGTCATTATGTAGGAAAGGCAAATTTTAATAAACTGCACTTTTAAGATTGTTTAGAACTCTCTGCTACCACATAGCATGCAGGGAAATCGTCTCTCTAGTTCTTTCTCCCAGAAATATGCTGACATACACTCCCCCACACACGCACACACTCACTTGGGCTGACACACACAACATACTACACATACACTCACACACATTCAGTCTGTCACAAACAGTCTTCTCCCTTCTCCCTACACGTGCTTGCTTATTCAAGCTGACACATACACAAACACACACACTCTTGCTCAGGCTGACACACATACACAACATAAAAACTGTATAGCCAACAATGTTCTACCCACTTTTCCAAGGAGAAAAGTGCATATGCGCATGAACTTCCTGTTTCTCAGATTGACTCTTATAAACCCACACTGTCTCCTGCAGGGCAACACACACACACACACACACACACACACACACACACACGCTCCAGCTGACATGCACGCATACCTATGCAGACACACAGCCAGTCATGTGAACATAACCACATAGACCCATTCAGATTGACACATGCACCCAAACAGAGGGTTACACACACAGTAATGCCTACTCACACACAGTTAAGCATTGGCTTTCTTTTATTCCCCAGTGTTTGTTGCTGATCTCTGACTTTTCTGCCTTTGGTTTACATTCTCTGGGTCTTTGACTTAGAGGTGGTGACAAAGACCAATTATTTCATGTGATTACATTTGGAGTGAAATTAGTGGTTTTGATACTCGCTCACACATTGCTCACTTTTATTATTTGCGTGTAGTTTAAGAAAACTTCATGGGCTTATTCTACTTTAATATGTGAAAGTGAAAGTTGAGAGATTATATAAGTAGATAAGAAAATGGCATTTTAATATATACTTGTTGAGTCTACAGGATCAGATGAGAAATTGGTAAGGATTATATCATGAAATTCAAAAAACAATTCTCTATTTTGCCAAATTAAAGATCAATGTTCTTATGTCACTTTGTGCTACTTTCTGTTACTTGCTTTTGCTGATTATAATAATAAACACTATGCAAAAGAACTAAGAATGTTACAACTTAGTATTTCGATAGGAGACAATAAAAAGGTGGGCAGTTGAGTTGCCTTTCTGAAATTGAGAGCTTTCTGTTTGTGAATATATAAGGACAGATATTTGTCATTCCTCCATTTTCAACAGAACATCAAAAATGTCCAGTGTTCACAACGAAGCTTTCACACAATGTATAAAAGATTGGAAAGCAGCATTTGGGACACACCAGATGTTTGTTTCTTGAAGAGAATCTGGAAATCACAAATCTGGGATTTTGTTACTAATGAAGAAGAAAAAGGGAAAAAAAATCTTTCATAAACCACATTCGTCCATTGGTGCATTTCTTTTGAAAAATGAAATAAAAGAATGGCAATTAGAGTATATACATTATATTTGGAAAGGAACCACTAATATTTCTGAGATTTCATGTTGAAAAATATGAGCTTTTATTTAAATATTTATTTATTATTTTATTCACTCAATTTCTTAGTCTTGCTAGTTGGATAAGAAAACTTTAGAAAACTGTACCAAGGACAAACATTGAACTTCTATTTGAGGAAGCCCCACTAGCTATAATGTTCAGAGAAATTGTCTCCCATGTGGAATCCTAGGTGGAAAATCCTCTTGCTCTCTGCCCTCCTCCCAGGAAGCCTGATCAGGTAAGGCCTTAAGGCCTTCATAAGGACTTTGACTTTGACTATAAGTGAAATAGGAAGTCATTAGAGACTTGTGAGCAAAAGAGTGACATAATCTAACTTGTGTTTGGTTTTAAGCAATGATTTCCATTACAATGGGAGACTGCTGGGGGATAAGAGATAAAGAGGGTCCCTTCAAGGCATTCCAGAGGAAAAATGACTGTGGCTTAAACTAGAGTAAAAGTAGAGAGAAGTGGTTAGATTCCGGTATATTTTAAAAATAGAGTAATTAGAATTTGCAGCTTTATTTGAAGTGGGCAAAAAGAAATGGAGACCTGTTGATGATTCTAAGGTTTTTAGCTTGAACAACTTGATGAAAGAAGTTTCTGTTTGGTTAAATGCATAATTTGGGGATGAGGGGAAGTTGGGGTGGGGATTGCTTCTTGGCGGTTTGATAGACATTCAAGTAGGGTAGGAAGTTCTGTCTGAGTTTGAAGTTTAGGTAAGAGATTGAATCTGGAGGAGTGTGTGTGTGTGTGTGTGTGTGTGATATGTAAGTTGTCAATGTACAAACATATTTAAAGATAGGAGCCTGAATGAGATGACCTTATGAATAAATAGATGTAAGAGGCACAAAGTTTGAGCCTTGGAGCATTTTAACATTTATCATCAAATAGATGAAGGGGTACCAGCAAAGGCATCTAAGAAGAGTTAATAGTACAGTGTGGTGGTGTCTTAGAGACCAATACATTACAATTTTCAAGAAGGAAGGATTCCTAAATGTGTCCCGTAATACATAACAAATGTCAAATAACATGAGGACCGTGAATTGACCACTGAATTTGCAAATGTGGAGGGCATTAGCGACCTGGTTAAACACTAGAGTATTGTTGAATGAATAAAAGAATCTGAATCAATGAATCAAAGAATCAACCAAGATATGGCATAGATACGTTAAAAGAATTGTTCCCTGGTAAAGAGGATAGTAACTGCATTTGGTTCCTGAAACAAAATGATTTCATGATCCTGACACGTATTTAGGTAAATAGAAATACCAGTATAGTTCTTTTCCCTATTTTTGGTTAGCTCCCTCTCCCATTCAGTTTTCATAATCTTTATCATTCTTCTCAAGTTCTATTTCAGTCTCAGCCGATGAGCTTGCTGCATGCTTGACTTAGGTAATAAAAGTGAACATCTGTGAATTGAGTGAATGTTCTGCACCCATTACCTGCATATACATCTATCTGTATTTGTACCTCTCCAGTACTTCCTTCTCAAAGATGTCAAAGGAAAGATGTCCCTCCCAGGCAAGTCTCTCCACCTATTCTCTTGATGCCTCTTTTCTTCAGGATCCTGGTAACACTCATGGCTCCTTTCTTTTAAGCCTTTGTCCTCTCCCTCTCTATATGGCTTCTCCCAGCTCATAGATTTGTTTGCTTATAGCTTTTCTCATCTTGAAAACACAGGCCTTTCCCCAATTTGTATTCCCATCTAACTAGACAAAAACAGTAGAGACATATTGTGAAGTATTTTAGAAATAAGGAAATGAAGAATGAGGAAAATCATAATCACCCATAATCCCATTCTCAGAGATCATTATGTGTTTACTTAAGTTTTTCCTATATGCATTTTTACCAACTGTGATGCAACTATATACATACACTTTAAAAATCTTCCTTTCAGGCCGGGCGCAGTGGCTCAAGCCTGTAATCCCAGCACTTTGGGAGGCCGAGGCGGGTGGATCACGAGGTCAAGAGATCGAGACCATCCTGGTCAACACGGTGAAACCCCGTCTCTACTAAAAATACAAAAAATTAGCTGGGCATGGTGGCGCGTGCCTGTAATCCCAGCTACTCAGGAGGCTGAGGCAGGAGAATTGCCTGAACCCAGGAGGCGGAGGTTGCGGTGAGCCGAGATCGCGCCATTGCACTCCAGCCTGGGTAACAAGAGCGAAACTCCATCTCAAAAAAAAAAAAAAAAAAAAAAATCTTCCTTTCAGGTAACATCATTAATACTATTTTTCTTCATGTGTTTGTTTATTTCAGCTAGTTAAGGCCATGTAATAAATTGTATCTCAGAAGTCCTCCAGCCCTGGAGCTTCATGTACTTTTCTAAAGGTTTGAAATAGTTGAAAAGGTTTCCACATGAAAAGGTCCACATTTATCCATACAGCCTGAGGGCACCTCAGTATCTGTACTTCATGGAGTAGTTTTTGAGGGCATGACCAGGTTGCCTCCATTGAAGGCCCTACGGTCCATGATCCCTCTAATGTCCCCCATCTCCTGCTTGTCCTCCATTGCCCAGTTAATCTTGTTGCCAGTCCCCAAGACAATCATGATGTACTTGTTCCTGAAGAAAGACATGATAGTGCATGGATCATATAACTCATACATTTTGTTGAAGTCAGATACTTTGGTGATATACATAAGAAAAATAACTGCAGAATATTTAACCTTCTCAATGATGCTGTACAAGACCTTGTCCATTTTCATGCATGCGGGGTCCCAGTCATTGCAGAAGCAAATGACAACCATGTGGTCCTCCTCTGAGAGGATGGCCTGGTCCACCTGCCAACTGCTGTGGAGGTGCAGGAGTGTGCGTGACATAGTGGCCCACACACTCACCGCTGCCCGAGGCCGAGTGCCAAAGAGGGCCCCGTGTGGTGAGCACAGTCCCTCACTCTCAGCCCCTGTAATCCCCAAAGACCCTCAGGGCCTGCCCACAACCCCCCCCCCCCCATCAACATTGGGCCTGCTCCATTCATATAACATTGTAACACTTTCCACATGCTGTTAAACAGGTTTGTAAATAACTATTATAGTAGCCAGAGTATTTGATACTGTGTTTATGCTATGATTTATACATTCATTATTTTACTGGATTTTTCAAACCTACTATTTTTGATTTAAATAAAACTAAGGTGAATATCTTTGTATACAAATCTTTTACTACATGTCTTTACACATTATTTTCTAGGCTGGAGTCTGAACGAAATTGCTGAGTCAAAGGATGTATACTGTTTTATGACTCTTGTTAGCTACTGCCAGATTGTTTTAAAATATCAGTCTGCCAATTTATATGCCTACTGGGAAGTGTAAGAATGGCTTTCTCCCCAGATTCTTAACTTTGAAGGCTTTTTAAAAGTTACTTTATGAGACAGTTCTTGCTAATTGGACAGTTTAATAAGTGTTGTCTGATACTGAAACATATTCATTCGACTACTACAGAGTGAATATCACTTTACCATGCTTACAGTAGTCATTTATTTTTCTTTTATGATTTTTCTCCACTTATCCTTTGCCCATCTTCCACATTCTCCCGTGATGTTTTGGTAGTTTTTTGTTGACTTGTATGATTTATCATACTGACGTTGTCAGCCATTTGTCTGTGATAGTGGCTCTAATAATTTTTTTCCAGTTTTCTGCCTTTTACTTTCATGCATTTATTAACTTAAAAGTTTTAGTTAATCAAATGACTAATTTATAATTAAATTGATCATAGAATTGGAAGCCCCAGAACAGACCCAAGTAAATGTAATAAATTGGCATATGTTTAAGGTATCCAAATTCTGGGGCAAATGCTGTTAGAATTCTTTCTCATATGTCATACCAAAATAAATTTGAAGTAAACTAAAGATTCAAATGTTAAAATACCAAAAAGATATACGAGCATGTGAAAGAATGTAAGTAGATATTTATATAATCATGAGATAGTGATGATCTTTCCCAGCATGTCAATAAGGGTAGAAACCATTAAAGTAAATATTTTTAAATGTGACTAATTTGAAACCTTCCACACAATAAAAATTAGCAAAGATAAAATACAAATGACAAGCAGGAAAAATTATTTATAAAAAGATGGAAACTAGACCGGGTGTGGTGGCTCACGCCTATAATCCCAGCACTTTGGGAGGCCGAGACGGGTGGATCACGAGGTCAAGAGATCAAGACCATTGTGGTCAACATGGTGAAACCCTTTCTCTACTAAAAATACAAAAATTAGCTGGGTGTGGTGGAACAGCCTGTAGTCTCAGCTACTCAGGAGGGTGAAGTAGAAGAATTGCTTGAACCCAGGAGGTGGAGGTTGCGGTGAGCCGAGATCGTGCCATTGCACTCCAGCCTGGGTAATAAGAGTGAAACTCCATCTCAAAAAAAAAAAAAAAAAAAAGATGGAAACTATTAATTTTATAACTATTATATGAGAGCTCTCTTACAAATCAATTTTTAAAATTCCAGTAGAACATTGATCAAAGAACATGATGGAATAACTTAGAAAACCAGAAATACCAATGACTAAGAAACATTAAAAAAATCAAACTTTACTAACTTTCAAAGAAAGTAAGATACATACATAGAGATCATCTTTGGAAATATATAAATGTGCTTTCTTTTTGATACTTTCTACTACGTGAATGACCTTACTGAGTCATTCAGTACTGGAGTCATTCAGTAAGGTCATTAGGTACTAAGCATGGTACCCAATAATTAGTCAACCCTTTTCCCTTTCTCTCCCTCTGCTCTGGTGGGTGCCAGTTTTTATTGTTGCTATCTTTATTTCCATGAGTACCTAATGTTTAACTCCCACTTAGAAGTGAGGACATGCAATATTTGGTTTTCAGTTCCTCTGTTACTTCACTTAGATTAATGATCTCCAGCCGCATCTGTATTGTGGCAAAGCACATGATTTCATTCCTTTTTTGTGGCCACATAGTATTCCATGATGTTTGTGTACCACATTTCTTTATCCAATCCACCATTGAAGGGCACATAGTTTGATTTCACATCTTTGCTATTGTGAATAGTGCTACAATGAACATGTGAGTACATCAGTGTTTTTGGTAGAAAAATTTATTTTCTTCTGGCTAGATACCCAGTAATGGGATTGCTGGGTTAAATGGTAGTTTTGTTTTAGGTTCTTTGCAAAACCTCCAAACTGCTTTCCACAACTGCTGAATGAATTTATGTTCCTTCCAATAGTGTATAAGCATTCCCTTTTCTCTGAAACCTTGCCTGTAGCTGTTGGTTTTTTAACTTTATTTAATAATAGCCATTCTGATTGGTGTGACATTGTGTCTCATTGTGTTTTTAATTTGCACTTATCTGTTGATTAGGGATATTGAGCATTTTTCATATGTTTATTGGCCACTTGTATGTCTTCTTTTGAAAAATGTCCATTCATGTCTTTTGCCCATTTTTAAATGGGTTGTTATTGGCTCGTTCAGTTAAGTTCCCTATAGACTGGATATTAGACATTTGTCAGATACACAGTTTATAAATAATTTCCTCCCTTCTGTAGGTCGTCTATTTACTCTTTTGATAGTTTCTTTTGCTGTACGGAAGGTCTTTATTTTAATTAGGTCCCATTTGTCAATTTTTGTTGTTGTTGTCGCAATTGCTTTTGAGGATTTAGTCATAAATTATTTCCCAAGGCCAATGTCCAGAATGGTATTTCCTAGGTTTTTTTCTAGGATTCTTATAGTTTGAGATCTTATATTTAAATTTCCAATCCATGTTGTGTTAATTTTTGTATATGTTAAAATGTAGAGGTCCAGTTTTATTCTTCTTCCTATGGCTAACCAGCTATCCCAGCACCGTTTACTGAATAGGGAGTCCTTTCTCCATTGCTTATTTTTGTCAACTTTATCAAAGATTAAAAGGCTGTAGGTGTGCAGCTTTATTTCTGGGTTTTCTATTCTGTTACATTGATCTGTGTATCTGTTTTTGTACAATACTATTTTGGTTATTGCAGCCTTATAGTTTAATTTGAAGTTAGGTAATGCAATATCTATGGCTTTGTTCTTTTTGCTTAGGATTGCTTTCAATATTTGGGTTCTTTTTTGTTCCATATGAATCTTATAATAGTTCTTTTTAGTTCTGTAAAAAATGGTGCTGGTAGTGGAATAGAAATAATCTTGAACCTATAGATTGCCTTGGGTGGTATGGCTATTTTAACAATATTAATTCTTCTAATCCATCATCATGGAATATTTTTCCATTTGTGCCATCTCTGATTTCTTTCTGCAGTGTTTTGAAGTTATCCCTATGAAAATCTTTTGCATCCGTGGTTAGATGTATTACTGGGTATTTTATTGTTTTTGTGTGTATGTGGCTATTGTAAATGAGATTGCATTCTTGATTTGCCTCTCAGCTTGAACATTATTGGTGTATAGAAATGCTACTGATTTTTGTACATTGATTTTGTGTCTGAAACTTTACTGAAGCCATTTATCAGTTCTGGAAATCTTTTGGTGGAGTCTGTAGGGTTTTCTAGGTGTAAAATCCTATCTTCAGTGAGGAGAGACAGTTTGACTTCTTATTTTAAAGCTAACACAGTTAATCTTTATGCACTATCTTGCTATTTCCAAAATGCTGAGGCATGCTAAAAGCCTCTATTCCACCATCTTGGAAAAGAAAACAACCGAAATGGACTTTTACACCAGTGGATGAAAGAGAAGATTGGTTTTATTTGTGTTTACTTCCAGGAGTTTTCTTTTATAGAATAAGATATTTTGTTGCCATTGGAAATGATAATGTCAATGTATATCCATATTTATTTACATGGAAAGATCTCCTTAATTTAGAAATTAAAAACTTTAAATTACAAGGCAACTACAATTCCATTCACAAATAAGAAAAATAAAACCATATATATGTGTATAAATATATATACACACATACTAAAAAATAAAGAATATATTCTGAAATGTAGCAATATTTTCTCTTGTGGGGAAAATCAATAGTTTTTTTGTTTATTTTTTCATGCATTTTAAGATTTCAGAATTTCTCACAAATTACTTTTATAATTATAAAAGTAAATGTGTTTGCATTTTGAAATTGTCTGTTTTTCTTTTCTTCTTTTTTAAAGTCATTTTTTTCTCTATGCTTAACGTCCTTTCATTGTAAAATAGCCACTTTTTAAAAAAAGTTCTTTCTGTCTGCAATTTATTTGATATATAGTTTCAGGTGAGATTATAAATACCCCTAAAAAGACAATATTCAAAATAGTTGACCAAGTGTTTTAGTAACATTTATTAGATAATAAATGGCTGTTTTGTGGTATTACCTCACTCCTTTCATTATTATCTCATAACACTATGTCTTAAAACTGATAAGACAAATGTTATTTTTTTCAGAATATGCTTAAATATTTGTTTTTCTGGATGAATATTAGAATCAGTGGCTTAAAGTCATTTCCTCACACTTTTTAAGGTATACTGAATAAATATAATTTATTTTTTTCTAGATAATTCAGTGTCATGATTAATTATGAATCATAAGTACTATAGCATTTTTGTGAGTTATTTAGGTATGATGGCTTTTTTGCCAATGTTTCACATGACTCTTGATCATTAGGTTTTTCAAAATTTCTGAAATAAATTTGTATTTTTCCCATGTTTCTTTAGTGATACTTCCAGATGTCATACTTATCCCTTTTTAAACAACTTTCATTTGTAGTTGAATCTATGATTCAAAATTTTTAGCACTGTCTACAACATAAGACTCAACAATAGAACTCTGTGCCTTGTATTTTGATTGTTCTTGGGCTTTATATGTGTATTTCTTTGGCCATGTTTCATGTAATTTAGATTGCCGTTTTAATGACTGGC